TGCAGAGCTGATATTTTAGCCTTCCAGCAGGGATGCCCCTCTGTGGGTTGCTCCCAGCACCTCTCTGCAGTATGTGATCCCCGTCCTGATATCTCTGAGGCTGCAGAGTCACAGCCTGTGGCCAGGATCTCTGACTCCACAGGGCTATATTCTCTCTATAGGTAGCACAACTGTGATGAAAACCTTTAGGGGTGCTGTTACACGGTGAAACACTTCCAGGGACGGGGCAGCTGCAGCTTCTTCGGGCAACCTGTGCTAGGGCCTCACCCCCTCACAAGGAAGGATTTCATCTTAAAATCTAACCTAAACTTGTTCGCTTTCTGTTTAAAGCTCTAAAACCTTTTTTTTTTTTCTGATGCCATATTTCAAAGTATAATCTAAAGCAGAAAAGGTGTCACTTGGTCTGTTCAGCTGGAGGAGACTAAGGGGAGACCTCATTGCAGTCTACAACTTCCTCGTGAGGGAAAGAGGAGGAGGGTTAGATGCTGATCTCTGTGGTGACCAGTGATAGGACCCGAGGGAATGGCCTGAAGTTGTGTCAGAGGAAGTTTAGGTTGGATATTAGAAAAAGGTTCATCCCCCAGAGGGTGGTTGGGCACTGGAACAGGCTCCCCAGGGCAGTGGTCACAGCACCAAGGCTGACAGAGTTCAAGAAGCATTTGGATGACACTCTGGGGCACATGGTGTGACTCCTGGAGATGGTCCTGTGCAGGGCTGAGGGTTGAACTCGATGATCGTTGTGAGTCCCTCCCAACGCAGCATATTCTGTGATTTTGTGAAACACCAGCAGCGCTCAGCCCAACGCATCGCTTTTTGCCGTGTCCTCGCTGGCTCCCGGCAGCGCCTTCCCCCAGGAGAGGGCAGTGGAGCCCGCACACGCTCCCCGCTCCCCTCCCGCCGCCGGCTGGGAGCACCCGCTCCCTCGGGTGTTCCCTGAGGAACGAACGGGGTGAGTGGAAGTAGGACTACGGATTTAATACGTGTGCTAGAAACCGTGTACGGGAACATCCAGGAAATGTTCTGCGTGTTTAATAACGAGAATAAGTTTTGAGCAAACGAGTTTGTTGTTGCTTTTATTTGACTGGAAGTTTGCTCTGCCACACACACTTGTCCACAGCCACACAAACTTAAACTAGTAGCTTGCTGATTCCACACGAGTTTGTTAAATTCCTATAGCCCGAATTAAAAAATGTTATTGACATTTAAATAGCCCTTCAGGATGCTGCTATGGCTCTCCTGAGCCAAATACTCACAATAAAGTCATTTACTTATTTCAAATTTACAGGCATTCATCCTAAGACAACAAGCACACTTTGGCTGGAAACCACAGAGTGGTTTCAAGGCACTGTAATTAAGGGCAGACTGGGATGCCTTCTCCTCTGCTCCTTAACCATCCCATTTCCCCGGCATGCCAGCAGTCAGGCAGCTGTTCAGCTGTTTTCTGTACCTTCACGTTTACAGCAGGTTTCCCTGGCTGAATTCCAGGTTTTGGTAACTGGCCAGTACAGGCTGTGAGCCTGTGTCAGGCCTCTGAGGGGCTGGCAGGGTAGACTGAAGGGAAGTGCCTTTTGCCTGCAACTTGGGAATCCAGGGGACACCCTGCCAAAACAGAAGGTATTAGTAAACAAGCATTTCGTCCTGTGAGGACATGACAAATCTTTCTACTCCCAATGAAAAGGGACAAATTTAGGAAACTCTGAAATCCAGCTTTGGAGAGAAGATTTCTTTTATATGAAATGTTAAGGAAGCACCAACCCCAACATGAATCTAGCCCAGACAGTTGTCCTCTGCGAGGACAGGGGCACTCATTTCCTATCTGAAAACAACTCCCTGATTGCATCTGAGTTCCCACTCCTGAGGACACTTGCTGAGCTGGGGCCACCTTAACATTCCCAAAACCAGCAGGATGCACAGTGCATTTCCCAAGCAGGCCTACCAGCATCACTGCTGTTAGCACATGAGGTCGGTTGAGTTTTGCTGCAAAAGCATAGTAAACCCCTGGAGAGATGACTCAAATGTGTGATGTTACACTGGTGAAATGCGTTGCCAGCTCCACAGATGATGAGCTGCCTTTTCTTCCTCAGCCACTCTCAACTCATGGAGGCAAGGACAATTTTATTTCTACAGCTCCTGTCTCAGGTACTTGTAGAGAATGACTGCAGGAAAATAGAACCCCAGTGCAACGTCAGCTAGCAACTTGTTAAAAGAGCAAACGTAGTAAATCCAAAGGAGCCTGGTTTCAAAGAAATTGGGAATAGAAGTTCTGTCCTTCAGCTCTGAACCCTCCTCAGTCAGTGCTATATCCAGTCAGACGTGTCAGGCGCATTCAAGGCTCTCGGTCCGAGTGGGGATTTGGCAATTTGCACCAGCAATGTCTGTCATGTGAAACCACGTGGTTTATAGGAACCACAGAAATCAGTAGGGTATTTTTGCGTATAAGGCTCACTGACGTCAGCGCGAGGTGGACAGTCCAACGCTCAGAGTCTGCTGTAATCAGCCAAATGGGGATCAAAGGCACAAAGCACATGCAAAGTAATACAGCAAGAATATCTGAAAAGGGCCCAGAAACACTTGAGTCTCATCTGTCAACATCTGCCTGAAACTGAGCATTAAGTATGTCTCCATCTTGCCCCACACCAGATCCTGCAGCCACTCAGACAAAGCTCCCATTGAGAGATGCTGAGTGATTTGATTGTCCCTGGAAAGGCTGGAAATCAGAGACAATTTACTCCATGCCTAAGAAGGCTTTTAAAATTAACCAACCAACCCAACTATAGTAGTATTCCTCAGGTGAAGTTAGCCAGGAGGTACAGTGGATTTTATTTGTGTCGTTCTTTCATTAAATCCTTCTCCATAGTAGAAGAACATTAGATTAGCCAAGTTAGTTCAAAGGTGGAATTGATCTGTGGGGAGATTGAAGTGGGGTGTGGAACCTTGGTTCTTCTTTCTTCTGTGTGCATTATGAGTTAGTGTCATCAGTGGCCATGTGCTATTTTGAAACAATACAGGAAAATTAGGTAGAATATCCATAAAACTTGAATCTGATACATCTGCAGTGTTTTGCAGTAAGGAGGATACTGCAAATTCATGTAAAGTAATTCACCCCACTGCACAACAGATTCTAATATTTTGTTCTTTTACAGTAGCGATTAGACCAATTATAGCTCAGCTGTAATGGAAAGGTACAATACAATTGCTCCTGCTTCTCAGTCAAATTTCCCAGAACCTGTCTCTCTGTCACAATTTAACTTTTAAATTGAGATGGGTCTTTTAAACAAAAATATCTAGAATCTCACTGAAAGCTTTCTTTCAACTAAATCTCATATGTCCAACTGTATTGGCTATATATTAAGTGCTAGAAAGGACTGATAATAAAAATCTATGTTAAAAAACACTGTTATATATTTACTAGTTACTGCGCACACTTCTCTGATCACCCACAAAGGCAAATATCTATGTTTACGCCTACTATTCCTTAGAAAGTACAACTAATGTCCCTAAAACTTTCACTTTTCCAGAGACGCTCCTGTCTAGCCTGGGCTCTGCAGTGCCTGGACAAGTAGTGAACCTGGAGCATCACCAAAGGCAGTGAAACAGAATTGGAGGAATTGAACGAGCCTTTCTCAGCTGGGGTGTGAGGTGTGTGGCATGGATAAAATGGGGCCTGGGAGACACTATGACAGCGCTTGGGATTGAAGGCAGAGGTAAGTGCACGTTCCTTAGGGATGCCCAAGCCCTGGAATGCACTAGACCTGTAAATATTGATATCTGCAGTTAAAAATGAAAGCTAAGAGGTTTTATCCTTCCTATGTATTCTCTGCTTGTTGCTTTGGAACAAGAGTGCACACTCTCATAGCATCTTTCATATGTTGCTGCATCTTGCTGCTGTTTGGGTTGTTATGTGGATTATTTGGATAAAAATCCAAATGGGTTGGATTTTTACTGCAGACCATTGAAAAGGGGCCTTGAATGCTACAGACCATATGTGAGAGTTGCTTTCCTAAATGCAGGACTAAACAGCCACAAGATGAAATATCCCCAAGTAAATGAGATTAGTGACATGGGATACAGCTTTCAAAAATAATTACATCTGACACCCTCATCAGCAAGAAGATGTAGGGGCTGCAAGCTCTAAGCTTGGGAACAGCGTATGAAAGATTGGCTTCTCCTGGGAAGGGAGGCACAAGGGAGGTTATTTTTAGTACTTTGGAGAAAAAAAAAAAAGACAGAATTTAAGCAGTCTTTGGTTTGATACCCTCGTTATGGAGGAGATCATGGAGAGAGAAAGCAGAAGTGGGAATGGAAATATTACTGAGGATGAAAGCTGTGGAAGCAAAAGGTTGATCCGAGCAGGGTGGGAGCGGCGGGGACAGGATGGGACGGAGGCGTGGTGGGGGCGGCGGGGGGGGGCAGTGCAGCCCCCTCCGTCCCGTCCCCGGTTGTGCCCGTCGGTACAACAACAACCCACCAACGACGGAGCGGGCGGTTCCGTTTTCGCGACGGTATATATAGATCAGACACTTTCCAAAAAAAGCAGCGCCGCCGAGTCGCTCTGCTCGGCGGCTCTTTCCACCCGTAATTCAGAAAAAAAAATATTTTTTTAATATTATTTTTTTCTTTAAGAAAGGAGAAGCTGTATTCCGTGAATGCGGCTGTTTTCTGACTCGACACCGGCTTGCGGTTACGGGCTGCTGAGAAAGTGAGCGGGGTCCGGCGGGGCGGCCCCGGGACCTCCTCTGCTTTTCCGAGCGTTTTTAAAATTTTCCGGAACGGGTTCCCTAAAAAGGGCAGGGGGGCGGGGCCGGATCCTCGCCTTTTTAGGACAAGGGCCCCGCCACCGGAATACCCCCCTGTGCGGCGCGGCGGGCGGCGGTGGGGGCCGCACGGGGCCGGGGCGGGTCGGGGCCGCCCCCGCGGGGCGCGGGGGGTGTGCGGGGCGGGGGGGCCGGGGCGGGCGCGGGGCGGTGGGTCCCGCACGCCCGAGCCCACGTGACCGCCGGGCCCCGTTCCTCAGTCCTTATATGGGCAGTGACGTCCCGGGCATTCAGGGGGCCCCCATAAATAGTTACCGCCAGACTTGTCCTCCAGCGCGAGCTGCGGCGGGAGCGCGGCGCTCCCGGGGCACCGCGGCCACCGCACCGCCGCGACGGGGCGGCCGCCCGCCCGCACATGCCGCGCCGGCTCCCCGCCGTCCCCCCGCGCCGGTAGTGGGAGGCAGGGGGAAGCGCCCCCTCCTCGCCCTCCCCTTCCCGCCCCGAGCGCCCACCGCCGGCCGGGAGCGCCGCTCCCGCGGCCGCCCCGCTGCCCCCATGATGACCGCCAAGGCGGTGGACAAGATCCCGGTGACCCTCGGTGGGTTCGTGCACCAGCTCCCCGAGGGCATTTACCCCGCGGATGACATCTCGGCCGCGCTGCCAACTTCGGTGGCGATCTTCCCCAATGCCGACCTGGCAGGGCCGTTTGACCAGATGAGCGGTGTGGCAGGAGGTAAGCGGATCCCGCGCAGGTGCGGGACGGGCCGCCCGCGGAGGACGGCGGGGACCTGGAGTGGCGGGCGGGGGGCGGACTGGGACGGGGTGCCACGACCCGCCGCGGGGCTCCCCCGGCGGCCGGCTGGGGTCCCCCCCGCCCCTCGCGGCAGCCCTGCCTCCGCGCCCGGCTCTGGGGGAAAAGTTGCAGTCGGCGCGGAGCCCTCCGGCAGCCGGAGCGCAACATGTGCGCGCCGCAGCCCCGCGCGGGCGGCGGCCGGGACCGGTGCCGGGTGGCGGTGCGGAGGGCTGACCTGCTCCTTGCCCCCCCAGACGGCATGATCAACGTGGACATGGGCGACAAGCGGGCCCTGGACCTGCCCTACGGTGGCGGCTTCGCGCCCAACGCCCCGGCTTCCCGCAACCAGACCTTCACCTACATGGGCAAATTCTCCATCGACCCGCAGTACCCCGGCGCCGGTTGCTACCCCGAGGGCATCATCAACATCGTGAGCGCGGGGATCCTGCAGGGGGTCAGCACGCCCTCCTCCGCCACCTCCTCCGCCGCCTCCTCCGCCTCCTCCGCCGCCTCCTCGGCCACCGCCGCCTCCGCCGCCTCCCCCAACCCGCTGGCCGGGGCCCTCGGCTGCACCATGGCACAGGGCCAGCCGGCCGACCTGGAGCATCTCTACTCGCCGCCGCCTCCGCCCTACTCGGGCTGCGGTGACCTGTACCCGCAAGACCCCTCCTCGGCTTTCCTGCCCGCCGCCGGCGGCGGGGCGCTGCCTTTTCCCCCGCCGCCCTCCT